CAGTTTTTTTTTTGGCCGCGCCACCCGGCATGTGGGATCTCAGTTCCCTGACCCGGGATCGAACCTATGCCCCCTGCATTAGGAGCATGGAGTCTTAACCACTGGACCGCCAAGGAAGTCCCCATCTCTCCCCTTTCAAAGATGAATTGCCTGGGCAATGAGAAGATACAGTAGCTTTAGGAAGAAGAACACTGCCTGAAGAAGAAATAGGATATTTCTGTAAATTGTTTTCTATATGTAACAGATGACTGATTTAGGAAGTGTTTGCTTGCGTAAAGACAATGTGTAACCGTTATGAAGCAGGAGCCTGGACCCGTGGAGAGAAAGCAATGTGAGGTGATGACAGAAATATGAAAGGGAAATTGGCTGAAATAACAACCACAACAACTTCCAGTTGGGCTGTGTGGTAGATTAGGTATCCTGAATAATGTTTCCAACTGAAAAAGCTAAGTGCTGGATAAATTCGAAACACATTTTTTTTAAAGATTTATTTATTATTTATTTATTTCATTTATTTTTGGCTGCGTCGGGTCTTAGTTGCAGCACGCAGGATCTTCAGTGAGGCACACAGGATTTTTCATTGCGGCACATGGGCTTCTCTTTAGTTGTGGCATGTGGGTTTTTCTCTCTGTAGTTGTGGCGCATGGGCTCCAGAGCAAGTGTGCTCTGTAGTTTGCGGCACACAGTCTCTCTAGTAGAGGCGCGAGAGCTCAGTATGTGTGGCGTGTGGGCTTAGTTGCCCTGCAGCATGTGGGGTCTTAGTTCCCTGACCAGGGTTCAAACCTGTGTCCCCTGCATTGTAAGGTGGATTCTTTACCACTGGACCACCAGGGAAGTCCCCAGAAAACATTTTTAAGTGCATCACCAAGTTGGCAGCAAAGTAAGAAATTCTGCAGATCTCAGAACAAAGTGCAAACAAGTAAAGCAGTCTGGGCACTAAAGCCAGCTTTCACTTGTAGGGTTTCTGCTGAACTTAGGGGACGCTGAGCTTCTGCCTTGAAAGACAAACAGATGGGAGGATGGGAGCCAAGGCCTGGGTCCCGCCTACAGTGGGAAGACGAATAGCAAACACCTGTATAAAGCTAGGCTCCTGATGTCTGTACTTCTGTGTTAGAATGAGAAATGAATCCCACCACACCAAAGACAACTTGGCTGTTTCAACCTTGGTATGGGGTGGAGGAGGGGAAAGGGATCTCCCCTAAGAATTTGTAAGCAGAACATAGAAAAGGGGTACCAATTCAGCTCTTTTTATGAGACTAGTATAACCTTGATATGAAACCAGAACAGATGTGGAAAATTACTCAAACCCACTCGCAAATGCTAATACGAAAATCTCACAGCACCAGCAAACTGAATCCAACTGAGATTTATTAATATCATATCAACATATATATATATTTTATATATATAAGTAAAGCATATCATATAACATATCAATATATGTAACATATCATTACTACTTGGTTAGTGTAATATTACAAAACCAATTCACATAATATACCCTACTAACATATTTCTGAAACTGTGATTAAAACCCTGTCATTAGGGCTTCCCTGGTGGCGCAGTGGTTGAGAGTCCGCCTGCTGATGCAGGGGACGCGGGTTCGTGCCCCGGTCTGGGAGGATCCCACATGCCGCGGAGCGGCTGGGCCCGTGAACCGTGGCTGCTGAGCCTGTGCGTCCAGAGCCTGTGCTCTGCAACGGGAGAGACCACAACAGTGAGAGGGGCCCGCGTACTGCAAAAACAAAAGCAAAAACAAAAAAATCCCCTGTCATTAAAACTCTGTAATCACTTTAGTAGATACAGAAAAAAGTGTTCATTTGTGATTAAAATGAACATTGATTTATGATTAAGAATACTTAGTAAACTATTATAGAATGTAAATTTACTAATTTAAGACGCTAAACTAATTTAATTTAGCTACACACACACACACCCTTAACTAGCAAACATCATATCAATAGAGAAATGCAGAAAGTATTTTTTGGAAGATATTGCACAAGATAAGAATGCCCTGAATTATTACTGTTACTCAGTATTATTAGAAGCCTTAGATTTTGCAATAATATAAGAAATAAAGGGTATAAGAATTAGAAAGGAAAAAAACAAGTGCTGTCAATTGCAAATGATGTGTTTTTTACGAAGAAAAGTAAACTATAAGTAGTAGAAATAATAAGAATTTAGCAGTGTAGCCAAACATAAGATCACCATAGAAAAGTCAGTTGCCTTCTCCATACCAGCACGAAGAGTTAGAAAATATAATGTAAAAAGAAGAAAAGAAATGAGACCATTTATAATAGCAATGGAAATCATAGGCTATAATTAGGAATATGTTTAACAAATGATGCATGAAATAGAAAACTGTTGAAATTCATTGGAAAATAATCTGAGCGGAGAGGATAATGTTCATGGATAGAAAAGTCAATATAAAAATGTCATTTCTCTCCACATTGATCTATATAAATTCAATGTGTTTCTAATTGAAAATCTCAACAGAATTTTCTTGGAGAAACTGGCTGATTTTAACATTTATCTGGAAATACACACATTTTAAAAAATAGCTAAAATACCCCTGAAAAAGAGGAGTCAAGTACAACTGGGCCTGCCCTACTAGACATCAGGGCTTATTTTAAAGCTACTTTAATTGTGGCAGTGATGTATTGATGCAGGAATTCACAAATAGACTAGTGAAACAGAGCCACTCCATGTTTCTATGAAAACTTGATTTATGACAGAGCAGGCACTTAATGATTACAACAGCAGAAAAAAAAAAGCCCGTTAGATAAATAGTGCTAGAACAATTGGTCATCCATAAGGAAAATAAACAAAGTTGGATACTTACTGCATGTAATACCCAAAATCAATTTCATAAGGATTAAAGATAAACATGAAAGGCAAAAATATAATTATTTTTGAAGATAATATGGGAGACCACAACAGTGAGAGTAAGGAAAGATTTGGAAGTGAGGAAAGCTTTCTCAAATAAGACACCAGTCAGATGGGGAGGATATCACATACTCTAAAATGTGGCTCCCAAGGGCTCTGAGCAGAGGGCACTGTTTCTTAGAAGGGGCTGTGGGCATATGTGTTTTTTCAAGTTTATAAAAATCACAATACCAAAAGAAAAATATTTCAGAGTGCGTGTTCAGACAATTTGTATGAAGAAATACAAACTGCAGGAAAAATACTCTTTCTAATCATTAGAAAAGATAAATTTTTTAAATCCAGAGATACTATGTAACATTATTATAGTAACAAAATTGCAAGAAGATAACATCCAAAGTTGTTAGTATTATAAGGAATCTGTATATACATATAACACTTTTGGAAAGAAGTTATGAGTAGTGCCACAAAAAGTTCTTTCCTTTAATTAGCTTATCTCACTCCTGGAAGTTCACTCTTAAAGCAAAAGTGAAATATTGTATATATGAACATGGTCACTTAGTATCTTAATAGCAAAAATCTATAAGAAACACAAATGCCCAGAAGTCATTTATTAAGAAAATTGTTAGCTTAAAATTATTAATTATGTAGTCATTAGAATTATTAAATATATAGTCATTAAAAGTTATTTTTGAATACTGTAGAAATATTTGAAGTACTTTTACATGTGGCAAATATATAAAAGTATGAGTGGAAGAGAGATGGAAGGTTATTTTCAATAAGTTATAAATAAATATGATAAATAATTATGATGCTAGCTTGGTAGGATATAGCAGGGAATTTTTTCACCATTGTCCATAACATAATAGAATGTATTTTTATTTTAAAAACACTTAGTATACACTTGTTATATAGTTGTTACGATAGCCCTCAAAAAAGAAGGTTTTAAAAGATTTTTAATTTGCTTTTATGATTTTAGGAAGACAGTGGTCTGTCCTATCATTGATGTGATCAGTGATGATACTTTTGAGTACATGGCAGGTTCTGACATGACCTATGGTGGATTCAACTGGAAGCTCAATTTTCGCTGGTATCCTGTTCCCCAAAGAGAAATGGACAGAAGGAAAGGTGATCGAACTCTTCCTGTGAGGTAATTGATTTGTCAAACATTTTCCCTAATGTGTTATTGGCAGGGGATTGTGAAGCATTGGGGATCATATTAGAAGGATTATATGTGTATTTTGAAAGACACGAAGGATTTGTGCACCATATATGTAGTTAAGAGCCATCTTTCATGTATACCATTATTTCAAAGAGGGATTTTTTTCCTCTGATGAATTAATAAAATTCGAATTTTTCATTTCTATAAATCTAGTGCCTGTGAGAAATGATGGTGACATGCATATGTTTTCATTCCTATATGAACATTTTGCAAATCTATAATTTATGCTTTAATTCAGTTGTTAGGGATAATAATATTTAACTTAAACCATCCCTTAATTAATTGTAAGTGCCAATATGTGAAAATAATACCTAAAACTGGGTAATAAAATGTAAGATTTTAAATTCAGACATGTACCATCTGATAAGGTTAGAAAAAGCTTGTTTCAAATATAAAAATAACTAGAATTGACAAAAGTATAAAAAAGGATTTCCATTAATGCATTTCTGCTTTTTCTTTTGTTCTATATTTGGTCTTATATAGATTTTTTTCAGAAAGGGATAAAAACCTTCATGCTATTCAGGACCTTTAGATAGACTTGAGCCTTCTGAGCCATCCTAGGATTCCAGTTGCATCAGCTTGCTGCTTCTGTAGTAACTGAGAGTTCCTGCAGCACCAGGCTTTTTAGCCTTCTCCTCTCCAGGAGAGGAGAAGGCTTCCCAGATCTATATTCCTTTGAATTAAGTCCAGTTCTGACAAAGTTGAAGAGAGGTTTCACTAATTTCTATGCTCTTTCTCCCTAGCCAGCCCGAGTCCTTTCCTAGCAAAGGGACTTTCCCACTCTTGGTGACAGTTCAAATCACCATCTAAACCAGGGGTCACTAAACATTCCATACATGATGGACTTCTTTGAAAAATCTGATAAAAGCTTTGAGTCTTCTCTAAAGTGGGACTGGGGGTGGGAGGCAGGGATGCACATGTGCAAACAGAAGGGTTTTTACATACAAGTCTAAGAAATTTAGAGAGATCCCCAAACCTGGGTCAAGAAACCCCTGCACTAAATGATAATGCAGGGTGTCAGCCTATTTATTTCCTTTGACTCCTAAGATATTAGACTTTCTCATTCTTTTTTCTCTTCTAAAATCAAAGTAAGTCCTAACTTCTTTGTGGAAACAACTATTTCTACTGGAAAAGCAAATGCTGCCACCCTCACCAGTGCATGGAATGAGTATGTTTTAGGGTTACATAGGTAGCCAGTTCATCCTAAAATATGATCTCCATAGTGTCCTCTGTCCCTGGAACTTAATTTCGGTCTCTTAGTTGGAACCCAGTTTTTCTCCATATTCATTCTTCAAGGAAACCAATATTTGGTATTCATTTATTTAAATCCTCCTTCATTATCATTTCTCTGCTTAATTCTACCTATTCCCACCCACTCTACATACCTAGGCCATGTTTTGAGGCAGAGAATTTACCATACTTGGTCAGGATGATGATCTCCTTACTTAGGAGGAGTATGTTGATTTTATTCTGTACTTTATCTCCTTCCTTAAAGGTTGAGGGAAAGGGCTTCATTGCTTTCATCCTGTTTAGTCTTACATCTTTGCAATATTTGCCACCCCTTAGAACCTGGCATGTTAGAGCTGCTAACATGAGTCTAGTTGGTTAATGTGGTCAACTGCATTTATGGTTGCTTGGAACTATGGAGTAGATACACACAGTCAGATGGAGCGGATTATGAGAAATAGCTTCAATTTAAGGAGTTTGGGGTAGAAGCTCAGTCAGGACCTGAGGATCAAGAAAGGTACTGAAGACAGTAAGAGCCCTTGGGACTGGGCAGGGAAGGGTGTCCAGGCAGAGAAGGATGTCCAGGTAGGAGCTGTGACAGCACAACTGGGGTGCAGGTCCAGCATAAAAACAAAGAAAGCCCTGGGAGCCTGTGTAAGTTTCTGAAGAGTGTGAGAATAAGCATTTATTCTGTAGTTACAAACAGTTATAAAACTACTTTTAAAAACAAAAACTGATAGTAAATTTTAAATTGTTACAATTAACGGTATAGTATTATGATTGAATTTCAGAACACCTACAATGGCAGGAGGCCTTTTTTCAATAGACAGAGATTACTTTCAGGAAATTGGAACATATGATGCTGGAATGGATATTTGGGGAGGAGAAAACCTAGAAATTTCCTTTAGGGTAAGTTCCCTTTGAAAAAAAGTAATCTGTATAACCTCAAATATGGATATGCTTTAAATATTTATGTTATCTCTAAATAAAAATTAAAAAGTGAATTTAATATGAGTTTAATCAGACTTCACAGCCTTCAGCCCATAAAAAGTTTGGTGATACTATTAAAGGTTCATTATAAACTATTTTAAGCAAATAATTCAGTTATATTACTAGTCCACCTGTAAAACTTATACAAGATTCCCCTGTTGTCTTTAATTTGTTACTTTCAAGGAAGTAATTCAAACTCTAAAAATAAACAAAAATAACACATAGTTTGTAGATGCTACTTTGTTACTTAACTGCCAAAAACATAATTTCACTTTCTTTAATATGCTTTGTCCTTCTGGTTTGAAAATTGTTCTCTCTTATTTAAACCTGGTCACTTCACCAGCTTTATATTTTTCCCCATAAAAAGAAAAAGGCAAAAGAATTCTGAAATTATTCTAAATGAATGTAACCCAGTCAACCTTAAGTCTTATGCATTTTCTGTTCGCAAAAAAACAACATATTTTTAAAATGACATAGTGTATTTCTGAAAATAATGAACTTTAGACACATGGCCTATAGTGGAAATCACACTGAACTGCGCTGAAGTCTAACCCAGCTAGCTTGCTGTGTTCCTGGTAGATAGCTTTACTCTTTATAAAAGGAGAGGTTTGAACTCCAGATCATCTTGGAGATCCTACTTAGCTGTATCACTTTATGATCCTGTGAAAATGTTAAGGTAGGCACACTGAATATTTAACAAAATCAAAATTTTTCAAAATATATTTTAATTGAAAATAGATTTTGACTTATGGAAAAATGTATTTTGAAAGGATAATTTCGTTAAGGATGTGAAACCAGTTAATGATCTTTCTTTTACCCCTTTTTTGTTTTTATTCTCACAAAACACCATAGAGTGTGCTCTCACTGTCCACTGAATAACTCACGAGTAATCAAGTTTAGATTCCTAGGTTCTGTTTAATGTACAGGTTGTGACAGGTTTGGAGAAGGAGGAACAGATAGGACTCTGGCTGAATACTGCATGGTCAAAGTTTTTGACCACAAACCATATTAATAAATATACACACAACCCATAATATAAATATTTCATGAAACAGTATGTCCTTGTTAGTACTGGCTGCAGTTCATCAAATTTGAATTTTATGACCCTTGTAAGAGTGACGGCCTGCAGTTAGAGAAATACTGCTGTGGACCTCAAGTCTTTTCTGTATTTTGCATTTACCTATCTTTCTGAATTTAACCTTCAACTTCTGGTTTGATCAGAACCAAAAATTGAGGAAGCACTGGCTTTGGGACCATATAGCAGGAGCTCCCTTGATTCTGTGAAATTCCAGCTATGAAACTCAATAAGATGTGAACCGTTTTTATTTTTTATAATTATCAGTGTTTAAAACTGGTCTTCTTTGCTGTTGTTTACAGATTTGGCAGTGTGGAGGAACTTTGGAGATTGTTACTTGCTCACATGTTGGACATGTGTTTCGGAAAGCTACACCCTACACGTTTCCAGGAGGCACAGGGCAGATTATCAATAAAAATAACAGACGACTTGCAGAAGTGTGGATGGATGAATTCAAGAATTTCTTCTATATAATTTCTCCAGGTTAGCATTATTTTGCATTAGAAATACAAAACTAACTTTCTTGGTCTGATCCTAATGCATTCTGAAGAGAGATAAGAAGGAGTGGAAGAGAACCTCTGAGCAGAGGCGAGACACCTACCTCATAGGTTGTAAGGAGTAAAGGAAGTCACATACGTATAGAAGGTGCTTAGCAGAATGCCTGGTATATGTAATTAACAATAACAATACATGATCCAGTCTTGCAGAAGTCACTATTGGTCCAGGTGCTTTCCATGTTCTTTTTTTTTTTTTTAAACCTAACTGCAACATTTAACATGTATATGAAAGCGTCAAGTATTTCAAGGCCAGTGCAGAGCCCTGTAACATGCCTTCAGGGACTTCTCTCCAGGAGTTTTTCTCTGCTCTTCTGAGCTTTGTGGCAACAGCTCTTCCATCAGCTATAAATCTGCCTGGCATTGTTACCATTCCATCCTCTTCCAATCACCACAAGACTGTGCAGTGGCAGCACACACAATTCAGTGAGCTGTGAGAGAGAAACCTGACTGGAAACAATTGCTCTGTTTAACCTCTGTTTCATATTTAGGCAAAATTGGTCTTTATTTTTGTTTTTGCCTTAACAAATATTAAACTTTTCTGACCCCATATAACTTACATTTGTGTGTAATATTATTAGCATATATATCATTCTCAGACAAATTTAATTTTTCTTTGAAAAACACATATATTTCCTTGTTTTATACTTTGGGAGGTGGATTTATGGTATGTCACTTGTATAGTCACACATCACCAAAGTGATACTACTTTTCCTGTTTGACTGGCTTTTTAGATGCAATATATAAATAGAAATGTGTTACCTAACGGAACATTAATAATTCAGTCACTTATTTCTTTTAACAGGTGTTACAAAGGTAGATTATGGAGATATATCATCAAGACTTGGTCTAAGACACAAACTCCAATGCAGACCTTTCTCTTGGTACCTAGAGAATATTTATCCCGATTCTCAGATTCCACGTCACTATTTCTCTTTGGGAGAGGTAAAAAAAAAAAGAAAAATTAAAAAAAATATATATATGTGTGTGTGTGTCTATATATATATATATATATATATATATATATATATATATATATATGTATGTATATATATATAT